AATAATCAAGGATAACTGACTTAACATAACAACACATTTCCCCTGAAGTAATACAATAAAAGACCAAGCAATTAGATGTGACAATTGAGGTGAAAGATTGGGTGCTACTTTGTAAGCAACTATTTTTTATAAGGTGATTTTTTCTGTTAAAGCCGGGCAATCCTAAATCCATAATAAGAATCTGGCTTTCTTTTTGATAACTGGCATGCAATTATGGATTACTATGCTAAATCTTCAAGCCTTAACATACTGTTTAATATCTGGAAACAAATAACTTTTTAATACCTGCTTACTTATTTATGTCTTCATGATGGAGTTCCATTACAGGCAATGAGCATCTCAGATTATTTCAATACCTACTGCAGTAATGATTTCAACACAGAAATCATCTACAATTGAAAAACTCCATTCATTATTTATGAAGTGACAGAATGATAGGGAAAATCTTTTTATAATGAGAATCCTTTACTTAAAAGAGGAGACTGAAGGGAAAATATTCACAAATAAAATTATATGTAATTTTAAATTAATGTTCTCATTTTATCAAGGTTATATTATGAGGCATTTTTCAACATTTCTTATATGCATCCTGCAATAAAACAGCAGGTGATCAAAATTTTAGGTCAAGTTTACGAAAAAATGATTCCAAATGTAACAATTATACTGATAATAATAGTGGACTTACGGCCTTCATGGAATTTCTTTATGTAGTTATATGCAAGCACTCCAGTCTGGAAATTGGTAAGCCAAAATGTTTCAAAGTAGTGATTCCAGCAAACAACCAACATTGGAATCATTTCTTGGATTTGTGGTTCTATATTTATCATAATATACATTTATCATAACATCTCTTTTGAAAGTTAATAGAGATATTGTTTATATTTTTAGTGTATTTTATGGGAAGTTTTATACTGGTAATCCTGATTTCTAAATATTTGGGAACAAAACACATATAAGTAACTTCTTGTTTAGTTGCACAAGGGTACTCATGTCAAGGGATCTATGCTGCCTCAATATGAAAAGTAATGATAGACAAGGAAGGTATTGAGGAAAATGTCAAGTAAGAATCTTTTAGTCATCACATGAATGTCCCCACTTTGGTGTCTTCTGAGTGTATTCCTGTGTCTTATTTGGTGTGGGTTTATGGGCATTCTGGTGCTTACCTATGCAAATAACCCAGAGATAGTTTTTAAATATAATGACACAGTTATCATTTCATATATTGTATGGATGGCTTAATTTAGCATATTTTAATGTCAGCTTTTGTGAAACAATTTTATATTTAATAACTTTTCTTTAATTTTAAGGGAAAGCCCAATGAGAGTGACAGTCCTTTTTACAAAGAGAAATTTTCATAAAGGACTCAACATTTTAGGGAAAGGATTGTCTCAGAAACTCTTTACCAAGATAACAAACTTTCATTTAGTGTGGTGAAATTATCAATTATTTATTTTGGGCTCCGTGTGTGTGTGTGTGTGTGTGTGTGTGTGTGTGTGTGTGTGTTGTGTCTTGTTTAAGCTACCTTTCTCTACTATTGAAGAAATAAAGATATTTCCTTATGCATTCTTTTAATATTTTAAAAGTTTCTTTTCACATTTTTTGTGTAATGTAGAAATTAAGGTGGATTTGGAGTACAGTTCGGTTCCATTTTATTTTTGCCATACTGATAACCAATTGTCTCACATTGTTTATTGAATAATTTATCCTTTACATGTTGAAGTGGAATTCTAGCACTGCCATGTACAGTTTTCATAGATGAATGGATATGTCTTGACTTTTCTATTTATAGTATTACATTCTTATATTCATCATCTCAAACACAAATACTATACTGTAATGTATTTATCCTATTTGTAATATGTCTCAATAGATTGTGAAATAAATAACTTCTTCCATTCCTCTTTAAAATTACCCTGCCTAATGTTGGGTTTTTATTCTTTACCTTTCTATTTTAAATTTAGGAGTAGACAAGTTTGGTGAAAAATTGGAGTCACATGTAATTTTCATTTTAGTTGAGTAGAAATATTTTATTTTCTATTTTTAAATAAGTATTATATTTATCAATGTTCTTTATTAGGTCCTATACTAAATTTTTATAAACATCTTGAGTTTCTATTATATTTCTTCCCAAAGGATACTTTTTGTGTTTTTGTGTATGGGTTTTTAAAGTATTATTTTTTTAATTGATTTTTCTGAACAGTAATGTTGCTTTTAATCATTATCTCTTCTAAGCCACTATGGTGGAGTCTAACTAGTTTTAGTAGTTTTTGTTTGTTATTCCAGTTACATATTTGTAGTTATAATATTCATGAAAATAGCATTATTAAATTTTCCTTATTTTTTTATCATTATCTAATTGAGCAGGCTAGGAGCTCTATTACATTGATAAATGCAAATGGTGATTAAGGCTATTCTTATAATTTCCGTGGCTTTAACAATGCTACTTTTTGTATTTGCCATAGTGTCTGACATTTGCTTTAAATCAATTTATAGTGAGTAGCAACTTGGGATATATACACTCTCAAACTGCAGAAGCACAATTGTCCTTTTTATTATCTTCTTCATAATGAACATTATGGAGATTCTATTGCAGTAATCAGTTTTAATTTTTAGTGGGTAATGATGATGAAACTAACCAAACCTTAACTCTGTTTCTAACTCAGTCTTTAAGATAGTAATTCTTCCCCACTTACATTGCAGGCAGGATTAAAGTACCATTAAGAAGATTCATGGGATCCTTTTTTTGGGGGACAGTGAAAGGGGAGGATTATATATTTGAATACTTGAAGATTTGATAATTTTTTTTAATAATATTTTTCCAGGCTCAGACTAATGTCCCTCCTCAGCTATTTCCCAGCAAACTATTTTGGCTTATTTAAATATGTAATATTTACAATAACTGAAAATAGAAATTTGATTCCCAGGCTGAATCTAGAAGCAAATAGGATGTTTTAAAATAAATGAGCAATTAGGCATATATTTCATAATTGGATAGAATTTGAAACAGCATGACTCTTCATTTATACCTGAAGGATTAGGGGCCATCAAAATATTAATTTACTTGAGCTAATGCAGACAATTTGTGCAACTGGCTTATCGTCTTCTAGGCTATAACTTTAAAAATATAAAGTTCTTTGGGGAATATTTTATTGTTTACAGTAAAATTTCTTGGTTTTCTTTCCCAGTTTATTTCTTTGGTTATCATTGCTTTCTATATTGCCATCTGCTGCCATGCACAGGTTGTTATTGTTATCCCATGATTATGGTTTAATATTTTTGTGAATAAGTGTGTTATTATTTTGCAACATTTAATGAAGAAAGATATAGAAAAATTATATACACTTCAATTAATAACTCTAATGTGAAAAACTATGGAGCTATCACTCAGTTCAATAAATAGAACATTGTTATAATCCCTTTCTGCCTCTGTTTGCAATGTCATCCTTCTTCACTAAAGCTAAAAGTTGTTTAATGATCCAAGCTATGTAATAGTCTTTTTTTAATGGTTATTATAAAGTACATGTGAATTGTTGTACATGTGCACAGATTTCCACATAAGGATCTTGTACATATTTTGTTAAGTTTCTACTCATTTATTAATGGCAGGAGTTTTTAAATCGATTCCCTGGCATTTTCTATGCAGACAGACTCATCATCTGTGAACAAAGAAAGTTTTATTTCTTACTTCTTGATCTGTAAAACTTTCATTCCCTTTTCATTTCTTATTGTACTATTCAGAATTCCAGTATACTGTTGAATAGGAATGCTGAGAGGGAACTTTCTTATATTGTTGTTGCTTTTAGAGGGAAGGCATCTAGTTTTACACTATAGGGTATATATTAGCTGTAGTTATTTTGTAAGTGTTCTTTGTCAAGTTGAAGTTTTCCTCTCTTTCTAGTTGGCTGATAATTATTATTATAAAAAATACTGGATTTTGTCAAATGCTTGTTCTAAATCAATTGGTATGTTTTTTTTTTTTTTGCTTTAGCTTGTGATGGATTGCACTGATTTTAAAATTTTAAATTAGCTTTACATCAATCTTATTTCATCATGGTGTATAATTTTTCCTGCATTGTTTGTTTGATTTGCTAATATGTTATTAGGAACTTTTGGATCTAAGTTAAATAGAGCTATTGGTCTACAGTTTTCCAATCTTATAATGTCTTTATTTGTTTTTATTATTAGGCTAATGCTGTCCACATAGAATGAGTTAACAAGTGATTCCTTGGCTTCTGTTTCTGTTAGCATTTGTAGAGAACCAATATAGGTTCCCCTTAATGTTTTGTAGAATTTGCAAGAGGAATAGTATGGGCATGGTGCATTTTTTAAAAGTTTTTATGAAAAATTTATGATTAACTCAATATTCATTAACAGATAAAGGGATATTCAGATTATCTGACTCTCTTGGTATGAGTTTCAGTAGTTTTCTTTCAAGGAATTGATCCATTTTTTCCAGTTTATCAAATTTGTCTGCATAGATTTATTCATAATATTATTTTATTGTCATTCAAATACACATTGAATCAGTAATGTCAACTCCTCTTTTATTTCTGATATAGTAATTATCTCTTTTTCTTTTCTTGGTTATTCTGGCTAGAAGTTTATAAATGTTACTGATCTTTTCAAACACTAGATTTTCTTGTTTTCCATTTATTGTAGTCTGCTTAATTATTACTGTTAATTTTCTTCAGCTTTCTTTAGGTTTATGTTGCTCATTTTTCTCTAGGCTCCTAAAAGTAGAAAGATTATTGAATTTATATATTGTCTAATATATGCATTAAATGCTATAAATATCCCCATAAGCAGTGCTTTTACTGTGTCTCACTGCTTTTGTTATAAGTTTTATTTCAAAAATTTTTAAAGTTCTCTTGAGACTTTGACACGTGCATTATTTAGAAGTATATTTCTTATTCCAAATGTTTTCATATTTTCAAGCTATCTTTCTGTCGTTAATTTAATTACATTTATTTCCGTAATCATCTTAGAACACAATATTTTTTCTATCCTTGTATACTTCCCTTTGCATTTCTGTGAGTTTTTGTGAGCTTCTTATAGACACCAGAAAAAGTTTCAACCTTGTGTTCCACATTGTTCTGCTGTGCTTTGTCCAAATGAACCTTTATAAGACAGCTGCCATCCAGTTTCATGCAGATTCTCTTGCCCACAATTTCGCTTGGGAAGACCAACTCCTCAAGGATTGCATCATGCACAGCTGTCAAAGTACAGCTCCTGAGATGCTTTTGCTTATTTTTTGTATGGCTTTTTGGAGTTGGCTTAGGCAGAACTCTCCTCTGAGCGATAAAGACAACATGCTTCCCCCTGAAATTTTTCTCCAATTCCCGTGCTAGCCGGACTTGGAATTTCTGGAAAGATTTTAATTGAGGAACGGCAACAAAGATTATGATAGCTTTCCGACCACAATCAACTTCAGTTCCCTTGGCTGCCGTAATAATCAGCTTCCTGAGCTGAGCCTTGAGGTCCGAGTTCATCCCCAGATCCAGAAGAGCCTGGGAGATGCCGGACTCGAACTCGTCTGGCTTCTTGCCATTGGGCTTCACGATCTTGGCACTAGAACTGAACATGGCTTTCTCCTTGGTGAGTGCCGGCTTAGGAAAAGACCCCAGTCTCCTGCCTCACATCTTTTATTGCTCTCTTCCGTGAATTTATGTTAAGGGTTGTTATGTCTTCCTGAAGAATTGACACTTCTCCTTACTAAATGTTCCTCTCTATTTTTAGTAACTTGTATTGCTCTGAAGTCAGCTTTGTCTGAAATTGATACAGCTACTTCAGCTTTCTTTTGATTAGTGTTAGTATGCTCTATATTTCTTTATCCCTTTAGTTTCAAGAATAGGGAAAATATTTTACCCGACCTTGTACCATCTCCTAGACGGGATTTCCACCCACTTGAGCCAAACTTAGACTTTACTTTTTCTTTCTCACTTTCTTTATGCCAACTGAGACTCTGACTTATCAATTTTTTTTTCTCCTGAAATAACTTTTTTAAACATTTTTTGCAGGGCATGTGTGCTTGTGAGGAATTTCCTTAGTTCAAAGGACGAGTGTGGCGGTTTATGCATGTAAGCACAGAAGTTTGGGAGGCCGAAACAGTAGGATTGCTTGAGCTCAAGAGATCAAAACCAGCCTGGGCAAGGAAGTGAGACCTAATTTCTTCAAATAATAATAATAATAAAAATAGCAGGATGTATGGCACCTGCCTATAGACCCGGCTACTAGAGAGGCTGATGTGGTAGGATCACTTGAGCATGGGAGATTGAGACTGCAGTGAGCCATGATCATGCCACTGTAGTGAGACCCTGTCTCAAAAAGGAGGGAGAGGGAGAGGGGGGCCTTACAGTCTTTATTTTATTTGAGAAAGCCTTGTTTTTTTTTTATTTTTTTCTTTTTGGAGGAAAAAATGTTGCTAGCTACAGTATCACAAGTTGGTCTTGTTTTTCCTTCATCATTTTATGTATTCTGTTCTACATTTTTTTGTTCAGCCATTATATATATTTTGTTATTCCATTGCTATTTATTTATTTATTTATTTTTATTGCATTTTAGGTTTTGAGGTACATGTGAAGAACACGCAAAATTGTTACATAGGTACACACATGCAGTGTGATGTGCTGCCTTCCTCCCCATCACCTATATCTGGCATTTCTCCCCATGCTATCTCTCCCCAACTCCCCACCGCCCGCTGTCCCTCCCCTATTTCCCCCCTACAGACCCAGTGTCTGATGCTCCCCTCCCTGTGTCCATGTGTTTTCATTGTTCAACACCCACCTATGAGTGAGAACATGTGGTGTTTGCTTTTCCGTTCTTGTGTCCGTTTGCTGAGAATTATCCTGATGAGAAGCCCAATGCAATTCATATCCTTGCTCTGTAAGTAAAGTGCTTTTCCCTTCTGATTTGTCTAAAAATTTTCACTTTCTAATTTAAATATTGTCTAATTGTATGTTTTTTGGCATTTGTACTGTGTGATGTTTCTCTGAGCTTTCTGGATCTGTAGGTGAGTGTTTGTCTTTAATTTTTAAAAATCCTTGGCCATTATTATTTCAAATATTTTTCTATTCCATTATCCTTGTATTTTCCTTTTGTTGTTTCAAACATTTTGAATGTTTAAATGTTTGAAATTGTTTTACAGCCCTTGGATATTCTGTTCTTTATTATTTTCTTAAATCTTTTTTTCCTCTGATATTTTAATTTGAGGAGTTTCTATTGACATTTCTCAAACTTGGTAAGTCTTTCCTTAGACCAGCTTACTGTTGAGCCCAACAAGTCATTTTTCCTTTCTGTTACAATATTTTAATTTTTACTCTTTCTTTTGATTCTTTCTTATAGTTGCCATTTCTCTGTTTACATTGTCATCTCCTCTTGCATAATGTCTTTTTTTAGAGCTCTTAACATATTAATCATAGTTATTTTAAATGCCCTCTTTGATAACTGTAAAACCTGAGTCATATCTGCATCTTGTTGTGATGCTTGCTTTGTCTCTTTAAGCTGTTTTACTTGCCTGTTGTGATACCTCGAAATTTTTTGTTAAACTTCAGACATGTGGCATTGGGTGATAGAATTGAAGTAAATAGGCTTTTAATTTGAGGATTTATGTTCATTTGGCTGGAGATGGACTTTGTTTAGCATTTGCTCTAGTTGAAGGTGCCAGAGGGTATAAATTCTTTTAGTGTGCTTACTTTTATCTTTCTTCTTACTGTTGGACTTCTCTAAGTATTTCTCCTCAGAAAGTGTCTGTGTCTTATAGCTCTTTCACCTGAAATCCTTTGTTACTACGTTGGAGCCTTGTTTTAATGGTAGTAACGTGGGATAGAAGTCTTCTACAATCTCGTGACTGAATCTGTGTTTTAGTGAGCTATATCTCTTGGCTATAATCTTTACAAGTGATCCTGTGGTGATATGGCTTTTTAGTTTAGTTTTTTTTTTTTTTTTTTCCTATTAGATGAATCAGGAAGTCTAAGATTGGCTCAAGTGGGTGGAAATCCTTTCTTGGAGATGGTACAAAGTCTGGTAAAATCATTTCCTTTGGCAAATAGGACTTCCTGTGGCAAAAAATCTGGGTATATTTCAGAATGGTTACTTTTCCCCTTTCCCTGCCAGAAGCCTGTGGGGATTTTTCTTGTCTACAGGATTATGGTGGATTTATGGAGTAAAATACAAGAATATAGGGGGAGACTTTCTAACTGCACCCTCTAAACGTTTCTCACTCTCACTCTCAGCTTTCAGCAAACCACCAAAATTTCCATGTAAATATTCTTTTGTGTGGCTCTAGCAGCTACTGCTTCAGGTGAACAGGATGTCTTCTATAACTCTCTGGATGTGCCTGAGTCTCCAGATTTCACATTGGCAGTTTTTCTTGTATCTTCATTTCTCTGATGGGTCTATGAAAAGTCACTGGTATTTTGTTTGGCTTTTTATTATTGTAAGGCCTGAAATGACAGCATCCAAGTTATTTTACGTGTTTCAGCTAAAACCTTATCAATCATTTTTAGTGGCCATTCTGGTTGGTAGTTTAGATGTTTTAATTTTGACTAATATAGCTGTCAGTTTCACTAATGACTGATGACCTTCAGTAATTTTTTGCATGCTGCTTGTCCTTTTAGATATCTTTGTAGTGCAGTACCTCTTTAAAACTTTTTACACATGCTTTAAAAAAAAGGTATTGTGTTATTTTTTCACAAAAAGTTCCTTATATATTATTTACATAACTCCTTTGTAAATTATACGTTATAAATATCATTATCACATATTATTCTGAAGATTACTCTTTTAGTATCATAATGGTTATGTTTGATTAATAAAGGTTCTTACTTTTAATGTAGTACCATTTATTAATCTTTTTCTAACTTTAATTTTATGATTTTTGTATTATAAGAAAAGCTTCATAGTCTCCAAATCATGAATATACTATTTAATGCTGATTTCCATAAGCTTATTTTACCTTTCATATTTTCAAGTCCATGAACATTGTCTTATATATAAGGAGCTGCGTAGGATTTAAGGCTTTTTTTTAATCAATAACTAATTGACCTAGAATTCTATCAATGCCAAATATTTTTTACACCTCTGCTATGCTCTACCACTTTTATTTAAAATTATTTATAATAGATACTTGATATATTCGGAATGTGTCAGAGTATAGCAGTGAAGTGAATGAAGGTAGTGGTTTCTGACACTTTATTAAATGACTCCATTTTGCTACATTTGTATCAACACCAGACTCATAATTAGTGTAGCTTTATAATAAATATTGATATCGGATAGTGCCAATTCTCCAACATTGTTGTATTTCCAAATGTTCCTGGTTTTTCATGACCTTTTTAACATTTTCTTTCTTTACTTTTAGAAACACAGCAGTCATTTCAGTTAACCCACATACTCATGTTGCTCTCTATTCCTTCCTCTTGTCTTTCTTCTCTTATTGTTTTCTTCCTCTGAAGGACTCTCTTTGAAATTTCCTTTATTGTAGGTAGACTGCTGACATAATTTTAATTTTTGTTTATCTGAAAATGTTTTCATTTTTTCTTCATCTGTCTAAATATATTTTTTAGCCTCTTTAATAGTTAAATGCACATTTAGTATTACCATGTTCTCTGGAAGAAACTGACCTATTGATCATCATGAAATACATCTCTTAATCTCTGAAAATATTCTTTCTTTTGAAATCTATTTCAAATGATATGAATATAGCCACTCTAGCTTTATTTTGAGTGTGATTTGAATAAGGTAGCTCTATCATTATTTTACTATTTTATATTATTTGCATTTTTAAAGTGTCTTTCTTTCAGTGGACATATTGTTAGACCTTGCTGTTTTATTCCATTTGATAATTTCTGCCTTTTCATTGCAGTGTACAGATCACTTATAATTCATGCAGTTATTGAGATGATTGGTTTTAATTTTCCATTTTGTTATTTTTGTTTTATTTGACCCTATATCTTTGGTTCATTTTTCTCCTCTTTTCTTGCCTTCTTTTAAAATAATTGAATATTTTTATGGTTATATTTTATTTTCTCTGTTGGATTATATACTTATACTTCTTTCTTGATTTTTTAATTTTGCTCCAGTGTTTATAAACTTTACCTTACCAAAGCTTACCTTTAAATGTTACTATACCATATTATATTTGGCAGCAGTTCTCAAAGTTTTTGGTACCAGGGACCAATTTCATGGAAGGTGATTCTTACATGGATGGGATGGAGGTGGCTTTGGAATGATTTGAACACTTTACATTCATTCTGCACTTTATTTCTATTATTATTACATTATAATATATAAAGAAATAATTATACAACTCACCACAATGCAGAATTTGTGGGAGCCCCGAGCTTGTTTTCCTGCAACTGGACAGTCCCATCTGGGAGTGATGGGAGACAGTAACAGATCATCAGGCATTAGATTCTCATGAAAGGCATGCAACCTAGATCCCTCACATACAGAGTTCACAATAGGGTTCACACTCCTACGAGAATCTAAAGCCACCTGATAGGAGGTGGAGCTCAGGTGTTAGTACAAATGATGGAGAGCAGTTGTAAATAAAGATGAAGCTTTGCTAGCTTGCCCATTGCTCATCTCCTGCTGTATGACACAGTTCAAAACAGGCCACTGATTGGCACCAATCCATGGCCTGGGATTGGGGACCCCTGATATTTGGTACAAGAAGCTTACGATAGTTTATGCCTGTATTTTTGCTCCTGTCCTTTGGGCCATTGTTGTCGTATAGTTTACTTCTACATATGTTAATAACCCTCTACAACGTAGGGTTATTATTTTTATTTTAAATAGGCAATCACATTTTAAAGAGGCAGACAATGGGAAAAATATTACCCAGGAGATATTTATCATTTGTGTGACTTCATTCTGTTATCATATTTCTTTTGCCTAAAAAAGTTTTTTAACATTTCCAGTAGCATAAGTCCATAGGTGATGAATTTCTTGGTTTTTGTTTTTTCAAAAAGTATTTAATTTAGAATTCTTTTTATATACACTAATCCTTTTCCTTTCAGTACTTTAAAGATGTTTTTCAACTGTCTTCTTTCTTACATAGTTTCTGAAAACAGTATACATCCAATCTTACCTTTGTTCTTCTATAAGTAGTGTGTATGTTTTTCTAGCTGTATTTGACTTT